CTTTGTTTACTGTCTTAGCCTCTTTAGCAGCAAATCAAAATTTTGCGAAGAATGTATGTATGAGCTCAATCAGTACTTTTGCCACCCAAAAAGTCTTGAAAGCAAATTTCTCCTTGAATATTACTCCCAAAAGGCCAAAACGTTCAAAAGATAGGCCTGGCCAAAAGTTTTACAGGCTCTCTAAATGTTAGTCGACTTGTATCTAGCAGGATGCCTTCTCTGTGCAAACTCGTTTGTTAATAAGAAAAAAAGTTTAACCTATGACGTCAGCAACGGTCGCTCTATAAATAAAGCTTAACCAGAAGTAACCTCGCCATGTTGAGTCTAGCCTGTTCAGATAACGCTAGGTAAGTCATTATAGGTTCTGTTATACTATCCTAAATATACTGCGTGTCCCAGTTGGTGCTAAACGTTTCTCTTATCACTTTGCAGGTATTTCCAGTAGAACTTCCCGTGTTCTTGAGGGAACACAAAAATGGGATGTACAGGACAGACGTTTACTACCTGGCAAAGACGTTATCAGAAGTAGGATTCTTACAATGTTGTTTGACTTTTACAAAACAGTTAACAGCTCTTGAACTCTTTCAGTTGCCATATTGGGTCCAAAACAAAGGTTCTTTTTTGGGCTGAAGTAAGCAGGGGAAACAGCCTTTAAAAATTGATTAAACATTACTTCACATACGGTAAAATATGCTGCCATTCTCATTTGGCTCTGTCAAGGTTTGACCCATTATATGAAGTAGAATGAGTAAGCGTGAAAAAACTTAACTACCACGTCAATTTTTTTGTGGTCAGAGTTCCGAATCCTCAAATATGATATGCGAGGAAACAAGGGTTAAACTCCAGCTGTTGACTTGATATTCTGGTCAAATTGAGTGAAGACGCTTGTGAGAGAATTCCTGTTTTTATTGGCACTGAAATGACTGAAGTAATAATTATGTTATTCCCGAGACTATAAAGACTGTAAAGGTTTTACTCTGACTTTGAATCTAAGCGATTCATATGACGAAACAAAACAAACAACTACAACTACCACTACGAATACCCTGGCCGTCATCAAGCCTGTACCTGTATTTTGAAAATGTATCATGCTCCTGTAATCTTTCATAAGTTACGACTGAATTGTAGCGCGTATTCAATAACAGCCGCACCCGCCGAAGGAATAAATAGGAGACACGCTCTTTCCGATTTCTTCTTTCAGGGAGGACGGTTGTAACACAAGCTATAGAATAGGAGTTGACCAATGTTTATTGAAATGTAACTTTTAAAGGCTTCAGTTCGTATAGTGTGATCGGGTGAGGGTAGTTCT